CTTATGTTCACTTTTCAGGTGACAGGTTATCAATTTCCAAAGAACAACGTGAATATCACAGTGTTTGACACACCAGGCTTGGCAGATGCGACAGGCAAAGACGAGGAATATATCCAGAAAATCCAGGCTAAGGGCATTAAATTCGACCTGTTTCTCTTCTGCACCGAGATGAACGCCATAAGATTCCGTAACGACGACTTGGAAACGATGAAGAAACTGACCATGACTTTGGGCCGACAGCTTTGGGACCATGCAGTAGTGGTGTTAACGTTTGCCAATGAAGTTCACCCATCAGCAAGGCAGAAGGCCAATAACGTCCCTGATAAAGAGGTTTTCAGCAACCGCTTTTTAGGTTTTAAGAAAAAGATAAAGGAAGTCCTGACGCAACTTGATGTCCCCGAGGAGGCAGCTATAAATATGCCATTTGTGCCAGCTGGTGACTTGCACGAGCCAAGACTGCCAGACAGAGAAAACTGGTTGACGGCCTTTTGGGTTGCGGTATTCAAACGCATCAACAGGAAGGCAAAGGCTCCTTTCTTACTGGCAAATGTTGATCGCATTGCATTCTCATCTCTTTTGCTTGGCGATGAAAGTGAAGAAAACAACGAGGATGTTCAAGGTTCCCAAGTTCAAGGTGTGTCTCGCGAGGAACTACAGGCCATGAGAGAATTGAAGCGAAAGATGCAAGATGCTTCCTTTGAAGAGAACTTAGATGGTTGTCTCCAGAAACCTAGAATGTATGATGAATGTGGCAACAAGTGCTCCACACCGGGAGATCCAGCTGCCAAAAGGTATGTTCCGCCCATCGAAATGAATGAGGCATCTTCTCGTGATGTGGTAAAAGAGATGGTTGGGGAAGATACCGGAAGTTTCATGAGCAATTTGATCAGCCCGGCTTTTGACTACGTTTATCAAACGTTTTTTGGCTCGATCGTCAGATATCTGAGGAAGAGAAACACATGAAGCAAATGACACAAGGACAAAAATTAAAGAACACAATGAGCACGAACTCTCGAAGGATTACTTAAATGTAAAGTAGCACCAAATAGTTTCTTCCCCTTCTAATTTTGCTAGGCCTGCGAAACATTTTATTTATAACTGAGAGAAAAACATAACTTCATTTTCTTTGCTATTATTCTATCACCTTTATCACTGTTAACGAGGGAGATTTTGTCTCTTACTGTGTACTGGAATGAGCAAATCCACATACAATTCAAAAACCTTGTGTGACTTTAGAAAGTGATGCGAATTTGATGCTGGAGATTTCAGAGTCTTGTGTCACTGGTTTTAAACCCCCTAAAAACATTACAGTCACTTTTTCACCAGTCCTGCTAAGTGAAAAACTGCAAGCTGCAACACAGCTCAGTTACGCTGCTGTGGTATTGCACTTGTGTCAATAAAAACGGCAAGCCATAGCTAGCTTTTAACAGTCTAACCGAGGCACTTGCCTCGGTAAAAAGTTTGAATTTTTTTTATATAATCCCCGTAACTAGACTATGCATTTTAAAATAATAAATCAATATTAAAGTCATAAAAGAAGCGTTTTTTGCTGGAGATATTACCACGGAAAGAATTTCAGCCTGGCTATGGCCGTGAAACGTGTTCGAATTTACTTTGGGAAATAACATATAGTTCCTTTTTTAACTTTCTTTTTTCTGTTTTTGTCTCGACATTACATATCAAAGATTGCGTTACTAGGACCCATTCGTTCATTCATTCAGTGAACTTTACCCCTCACATATAATACCATCATACACTGCAATCTGCGCATGCCTGGTTTACATGCTTTGTACGCTCTACTGACCCAAATTCCATAACAACAAGACACGTTACACACTCTGTGTTTGATGTCTGATTGAGCTCGACTGCAAACTTTGTTCCAGTTCAAGCAGGTCTCAGGGTAGGTGAAATTCATGTTTTGTCCCGTGATTAATATTCTCCATATGCGGGGCGAAAGTTTGATATGGCCTTCCACGACGATCTGAAAGGACTTCCGGCCGTGTTTGCTACATGTCCAAATTATGAGGCGGAACGAGCTTCGTTACTGAGTAAATTGTGCATATATTTGTACTTTGTAAACTCGCAAAGACTACTAAATGTCGATGAATCGTTGCTTGTTTACACTGCAGCCCTTACAAAATACCCTGCGTCCGTGTGCCAATCTATTCCAAGCGGTTGTCATCACCAAGTTGTTTGAATGCCGTGTAAAACCGACAGTAGCCAGCGAAGTATTCAAGCATCCACTATTGGGCAGAGCGATCAGTAGTTGTTCTTGTCTAATACACGGCACTGTTTTCAAGATGTCTTTTAACTTAAGCAAAACACTTTAAATACAACCAAATTAACCCCAACGGAGTAAAACGTTTAGTTAAGCTGCAGTGTAAACTAGGCTTTTCCGAGAATCGTCTCAGTGTTTATTTCTTGCTAACAGAGGTATCCAGACCACCAAACTGGATTGTATACTAGTTATAATTATCAGTGAAATCGTCAACGAATACAAAGGGATAGAAGGAGCGTTGTTATAACTTGGCAATTCAAACGTAATGGAGGACCATCGCCATGCCAAGCTTGCGCGATATTTGGGCGAGTAAGAACAAACAGAATTTGTGGGATGTTTACGCTACGAACGAGTTTTAAATTTCACTCGTTCGATTCCTGTTACATAATCTTTTATACGTGTAAGTTTATGTATTAATTGAGGAAACATACAACTTGGGCCAACATGGCCTATGGTGCATGACGAATTTCTCTCGTTTATGAATGAAAAAGCAGTACCTTTTAGTTCAAATTTGAAAATATATAACCGTAAAGAATACTGGAGAACCTAAAACGAAGACGAACAGAGCAAGCTCTGGAAGATAATTTAAGTTACTTACATGTTATTGCCTTGGCATTTACTGCATTTTTGACAATACTTAACACAGGCATATACTCACCCAAAAATCGCCAAACCTTGCACACATTTTCACTTTTATCTGGTGAGTGAGTTGCAAACATACTAGCTTTAATATTAACAGTTTTTCTCCCAAAAGCCTTTTAGATACAGGACAATAATTCAAGTTTATTTTGAATTCCCATCAAAACACAAAAATAATCTGTGCTTGGCACATCAGATAACTGAAACTGCCAAAAGAATACAAACAATTTTGAATATTTTGTTATAAATGGCGACCTCTGTGGTCATAGAAACCATAATTTGAGAGTTGGTCATGCGGGAAGCACACGATTGAAGACCATCACAAGTACGAACTACATGCCACCTTTCAAATCAAACGTTCCATCATTGTTGAATATAATGTGATTTCGTGAGACCCTGCTGAACAAGAAATCCAAAGTCAATTCCAAATTTGGTGAGAATTCAGTGAAAAATCCTGTAAACTGATCCACATCTTTGTAGAATTCAAAAAAGAGTTCGAAGGCCACTCGCCTTCCTCGCCACCGTTTTGGATACGTTTCTGCTCCACGAATCGTGCGCGTGCCGAACAAACAACTAGCACGCTGATTGGCTACAAACATCACAGATTGCTGCGTCACGATCTACATGTACATTACATCAGGAGGAAACCTAACCTTTTAAATGGTTTTTTAAGTGTATTAAACTCAAGTCATAGTCAATACAAGTAGGAAAAGGCTCCCAAACCCAATTTGGGTAATTGACGAGAGGCCCTGCTGCGAGGATCGTAACTAATGTTAAACCAAACACCTTTAAAAGGGCATTTTAATTTCAATAACTAAGGTTTTCGATAGACAATTTTCATTCTCAATTTTAATTTCAAGCATTTTATTGAACCTTTTGTGTTTAGAGTGTGAATTTTAGTGAGCAAATAAGGAAAAGCACTTTACTAAGAGGAAAGAGAAATGTACCAAAGTCTCAAAAAATGAAAATTTAATTAATACTGGGCAGTTCGAGCTCAGGTTTGGGGTCGTTTTATAGGCGTAATGGAAGCTTAAGCTAAATATGCAACAACAGGTTTCGGTTCCAAAATAAAAATATGAAAAATTAGCTGTAGCTGTTCATGTTATTCAAAATTCCCAGAACTTCAAGTTGTCATTTCAAGTTATTGTTTTACAGAGGACGACTAAGAATTATAAGATTTATAACGCACGTGCACAGCCAGTGTTCTGCTCGTTAATACTTTTTGTTCGTTAATCCTTTTGACTACGTTACCGCTGCCGTCGTAGTTTGCTTAAACCCCCTAATGCACATCAAGGTAACGTATTGTCTTGGAGATGTCTTGGATAACCAAGACTTCCTACATGAAATAAATCTTCAACCAACCAAGCATTACATGGCTTCCAACTTGAGACCAGATCTACTTACTGTTTGTATCTATTCAAGCTCCATATACCAGTTATTCAAGATCAGACGATTCAGTTTTACACTTCTTTTGAAAGTGAAACTTTGCCTTGCTCATCTCGTAAGGGTGTGCATGTACAATCAGCCGGTCTTTCTCTGATTCTGGTTACAGATTGTACCATCTAACAATGGCACAGAAAGGAGCCCCAGAGGTTGGATGCGAAACTCCTGCAACAGAGGCCAGCCAGGTGATATTTGGTGCAGAGAATCTTGAGTATCAGATGGGACAATTCATCAGGACAGGTGGCCATTCTGTTAAAATACTTCTGAGCGGTAAAACAGGAGTTGGCAAATCTCACTTGACAAACGCTCTTATTGGAGAAGAACTTGCAGAAGAAGGAGAGGACGTTGATCCACAAACCGACAAAGTAAGATCAAGAGAATACCTCCAGTAGGCATATTGTTAAGAAAGTATATTGCCATCGTGAGTTTCCTCATTTTGGGGAGGGGTGATTGAAGGTGGGGGTGGTGGGTGATCTAAAGGCTTCCGTTTGGGCGTTTTAGTCTTATAAAATAACGGTACTAACTAATATAATTCGTCGTAACATTATGTGAGGAAGACTGACAATTCGTCATTACTTCATTTGGCTTGGGTATTTTTTCCCTGAAACGGACGCTAAGCTTCTATTTACAAAATTGATTTTAAGTTAGGAAGGCGGTCATCTTGGTAGGAAAAACTAATACATTACTGTTAGTTGGAGGCAGACTACTTCTTGGACAGTACCACCCTTTCAATATAATGACTCTGTCGATATAGAACATGTCTTGTACGAAATCACAACCCATCATATACGCTTTTAGGATAAATCTATCAGCGTTCTCTCCCGAATGCCGTTCTCTCATTGATGGATAGCGAGTAGCCTAGTAGTGTGCGGTTGTTAACCAAAATGGCCGCCGCTTCTTTGCGTTTTATAAATGCCTGTGAAGAGAATTTAGATAAAGTTTTGATGATTAGTAGATTTATCCAAATCAATAAGATTATTCGCTCTCGATTTTTATGCGTCATAATTGACTAGGGCTGCGCCCTCGTCACTTATCCAGCTCAAAACAGCTTGCAGAAGTTCAAAATAACGAGATTTTCTATCTAACAAATCTGCAATGCATCTTAGGATTATTTCCTTTCTTTTTTTATCAGGTAACAGCTTATGATTTTTTAAAAAACAACGTGAATGTTACAGTGTTCGACACTCCAGGATTAGCAGATGCGACAGGAAACGACGAAGAATACCTAAAGAAAATGAAGGAAGACGTAAGTGATTTGGACCTGTTTCTCTTTTGTACCGAGATGAACACAAAACGATTCCGTACCGACGACTTTGAAACGATGAAAAAGCTAACAACGACGTTCGGTCCAGAGCTTTGGGACCATGCAGTGGTGGTGTTGACGTTTGCCAATGAAGTGCCTTTGTCACCAAGCAGCAAGACCAAAAACATGTCCGAGAAAGACATTTTCGTTAATCGTTTTTCAGGTTTCAAGAGAAAGATAAAGGATGTCCTGATCCAACTTGACGTACCCGAAGCGGCAGCTATTAATGTGCCATTTGTGCCGGCTGGTGACTCAGATGAGCCAAGACTACCAGACAGAGAAAATTGGTTGACAGCATTTTGGGTTGCTGCTTTCAAACGTATTAACAGGAATGCAAAGGCTGCCTTTCTTTTGGCAAATGCTGATCGCATTACATTTTCGTCTCTCTCACCTTCCGATGAGAAGAACTCAGAAAACGAAGAAAACGACGATGATCTTGAATCTCCATCTGCGGGGCTCTCCAGCGAGGAAGTGAAAGCTATCAAGGAAATGAAGAAAAAATTAAAAGAAGTGTCCTTCGAAAAGACCCTGAACTGTTGTTTACTGAAACCAAGAGCATATGATGAACTCGGGGAGAAGTCGGTCACATCGCAGAATCAAGTTGCCAAAGGGTCTGGTACTTCGATCAATATGGACGAGACTTACTCCCTTGACCTCAAAGAAGAAATGGTAGGGAATGTTGGGGAGAAGACAGTCACATCGCAGAAGCAAGTTGCCAAACTGTCTAGCCCTTGCATCAATGTGGACGAGACTTCCTCCTTTGACCTCAAAGAAGAGATGGTAGGGGATGTTGGGGAGAAGTCGGTCACGTCGCAGAAGCAAGTTGCCAAACTGTCTGGCCCTTTCATCAATGTGGACGAGACTTCCTCTCACGACATCATAAAAGAGATGATAGGCGAGGTGACCGGACAGTTCGTCGGCGACCTGACCAATAAGAAATTTGGTCGCTATTATCAAACGTTCTTTAAATGGTTGATGAGGCGTTTTAAGATGTTATTTCCGGCGGTACGCGCAATAAAGGACAAGCCAGAAAACGAGAAGAATGAAGATACTGGCGAGAAGGAAGAGAGTGAAACAGAAGACGAGTAACAATCGAAGGAGTAAAACTGTAAGAACGATTTCCTTTGTTTTCGCTGAGCTAAAAGGGATCAGTGTTAAACTTTAAGTATGGAAACGGTTTTTTCAAGTAGCTTCTTCCAGTTTCATTAGCTGTTTTAAAATGTTTTATAGAACATTAGTTCGAAAAATGTAACATATATATCGAAAAAGGAAACTTGTAACACTTGCGCGAATCCTTTTTTCTTGTCTTATGTGGAAGGTAATACGTATTTGAATGACTAAACAAACAAGTTCGTTATCAGTGCGTAATTTAGACCCTCCAGAGTGGCTCATCATATTAAGTTGGAGCTAGTATATTCCTGATTCTACGAACATTTCTTTAGATAAACCTGGTTTAGTCCGTATATTTATCACTACCGAAGGAAAATAAAAACATTTACAGATTCGTGTAGTTGGCGTTTTATGGCAGCTATCGAGGAACATGGCATGCGCATCAGTTTTGAGAAATACACGAGTTCGAATCAGCCTGCAGTAGAGCCATTGAACGCTTAGATTTTTTATCTATCAGTAACAGTTTTCTTGGGTTTGTACGTACAAATAACTTCTAATTTTTTTTATTGGAGCTAAACTGAATCCTACTTTGCAACGTTTGTAACTTAGTAACTTTCTCTCTATTTGCCATTTCTCTAGGTTGGACGTGGCCATTTTAATTTTTCATTCAACCGTCCGATTACTGCCAAGCCCCGCCAGTAGAAACAACCTGACAACAATGTGTGTAAATAGAATTCCGGGTCGTTCTTTTCCTTATTAGACTTATTACAGCTTGTGATTTTATAAAGCGTAACGAGGACATTGCAAAATATAATATAGTGTTGGGAACTCCATGATTGTCAGATAGATCCGGCAATGATGAAGAATGTCTTAGGAAAATCAAGCGGGAAAAGGGGAACGATTTCGAGTCCTTTCTCTTCTTTACGCAACCGAGAGAGATGTTTTTAACAACCAAATGCTACTGCTGAGCAGCAAATGTAGCAAGCCCTGATGCAATTGGAGTGCCTAAATGGGCAGCTGTGAATGTTCCATTAATTTTTGTGCCAGCTGGGGGCTCGAGCGAGCCGGTGAGGAATGGCAGTCAAAGACCACTGGTTATATGTTTAGAATGAACAAAATGAAAGAAATTGTTCTCCCCGGTTGATGTGTGACACTTAAATGGATATAGACATTCAAAAGAAAATAAAAGTTGAAAACTGATTAAATGCTGATTCAACTTGAAATTTCGTCTTGTATATATGCAAGTCACTGATATATTTTGTATATCAAAATCGGGACTCATATGATGTCTGCTCGGGATTTCGCCTCGGGGTTAAACCTTTCGCGGAAAATAACGTCAGACGTCAAGTCTTGGATTAAGCTGTCACATGATTAATAGTAGATGTATTTTTAGATATTGACGCTATCTCGTGCAATAAGCTTTGACCGCTCTAAATATCCTCCAGGTAAGCTGCGGGTGTTTTTTTCACTAATTTTATGTTAGTTTTATAAATTTAATCTGTATTTACACTGTCGTGACCAAAATAAGGGACCTGAAATGTTAACCGGTTCTGCGGGTGATCATTGACGCGATTTCTGAGAAGGACTCTTGTTGGTGAATCACGTTTCGACACCCTAAGCACTAGAGTTAATTGAAAATCTATTTGGCAGTCCATGAAGTAAGGCCCTGGCTCTTGACTGAACGTTGCTCATTACCAAACAAGCGCACGAGACATGTCTGAGGACTGTTTCGGGAAAAAAATACATGTTTAAAATGTACCTTTTTTCGCATCTAACGTACAAGGAAGCTGCTATAAGGAAGACATTAGAAACCATAGAACAATAATTTCAATTTTCAGCGCACTGTTGGGATTTTTCCCTGAATCCTCATCATTTTGAGGTCTTTATAACACACCGGTCACGTTGCAAAATTAGAGATGTTTCTCGTCGTTTACAATCGATTTATGCACTTCAATCATGCAATTCTTCTCATCTATTCAAATAATTGCTACGACTGATGTTTTCCGTTCGCGTATATAATATCCCGAAACCGAAACAGGCGCTCAACTGACCGGAAAACAAACTGTATGCCAGATCAAATCACTGACACATAAAGTCTCCTTGGATACAAGGCCACCTAGCCAATCATGGCAGAAATCAAGCTTTAAAATAGAGTGTTGTGGGGAGATTATTCCACAAAAGCAGACTATTTGTAGGCGAACTAAAGCCTATAAAATGTGTTGAGGAAAGAACCAAACTCAAGGCTTGCTGATTAGATTATAGCAACCTACACTATTTCTTTTTTTAAAACAGGAATCCATTTTATAGGAATATCGAGGCTGAAATTTGCAAAATTTTAAGAATATCTTAAGAATAACCCGACGCTGAGATTTTGAAAAATATAATTTTGTGTGGAAAATTTGTAAATACTATATATCTATATGTTTTTAAATAAAGCATATAAAATTACTCCTTTTTCTAAACGGTCAAAAAGAAACTAGACAAAAAGCAACAAAAACAGCACTTGATAATAGCATTTCTACAAGAATTTATGTGCGTCATATCAGGCTTAAATGCCTGCAGGCTGGCTCCAAAATTGTTTTCCTTTGGGCGCTTCCGCTCAAAGGGATTAATTGGCAACCGCACATGACTCACCCCCTATTCACTGGCGTTACTTTATATTTTGAGCGTATGAAGTATTGTATTTCAGTCTCTATCACTCTACACCATCCAGACGCCAAATACATTCAAAAACAGAAATGTCATACGCTATAATCTAAAGATATTTACAAGATTATTTTCAGCCTAAGATCGGCAGAAAATAGGAGCATTGAAAAATCGAATATTCTTATTAAAAAAAGAGAGTGTAGTTCAAATTTCTCCCACAAGTCAGGCTTTCCGCTCTATTGTCACTTCCTGGAACAGAAATTATTACATTTATTCTTGCTCGGAATAAACAAAAAATCGCAACGGCTGTAATTGAATCCCCATTTGGCTAATTTTTTCGGCGCAGAATTCGGCTCACCTTGCCCACAGCCCACGTAGCCAACGTTGCAGGAGTAAAACGAGGGAGGGGTCGGGGAAAGCGAGAGCGGGTATATCCTAGACGGTTCACAGCCCTCGTATCTTTATTTCTTGAATTTTTATTCAGTCCTTGAATGCACGGGTAGAATGGCGAGAGAGCTAAACGCCAGCGCAAAACGGGAGACTTAACGGGGTAGGGGTAGGGACTCGCTTGCTTCCCCGCTCCCGCCCCCGCCCCCTAGTGCAGGGGATATCTAGGGATATCCTTTCCCTACTTCCTCGCGTTTTTTGCCTCCCTACCTCTTCCCCCTTTACGCTCACGGAGCTAGTCATATAACTAATACAAATAAAGCCCTTCAACTCTGGATAAAGTTGAAGCTTGATTAACATAAACTCTGCGTGTCGACTTCAAATAACTGATGTACACTAAAACGCTAAACAGTTTCTTTCAACGATATTTTTAAGGCGGTGAGAAATATATTGTTCCACACTCTACTGGTTCTGTGAGAAAAAGAAAACGTACGGAGGACTTATATCCGGAGGGAAGCTTACAACTGCAATAACTTTTTTTCTTTTAAATGTACGTAGATTAGTCTGTGTCACAGCCGCCGTAGATAGGATGGTGGTGGTGGTGGGGGAGGGGGGTAAGGGTGGTATAAATGGAATGTAACGGTAGCATTTTTACCCTATTGAGCCTGGCGGCGGGGGAAGAGGTTTAAAGTGCTCGAGGTGATTTTAAAATTTTCTTACTAAGCAACAGTCAAGCTATGTTCATTAAACTTTGTGACTTTTCCAACAAATCGTCGGGGAACAGTTTGGTGTCAATTGTCTAGTCACGTGATTTACGTATCTATGGCAACCATCTTTTCAATACGGGTTTTTAGCTCAATTTGTATTTTTAAGCGTTTATCCCTTTTTTCTTGGAAATTTGAAATTTGTGACAATTTTTTTACAGACTCCTTATATTTCTTGTATCCATATATTTATTCTGATCTTTTGAATCAATTTTGGAATTGATCTGACTTGAAACCCAAAATAGCGTCGGGCTCCAAGATCGCGGACACGCGTTATGTGTTTGTGAAGGTGGCGTCATGATTGACACATGATTATTACTAAAGTAAAGATGTTTGGATGCTTCAAACACCACACAAGTTTGATTAATATTGAGTGTAGCAAAAGCAACAACTGTTTTAC